GACCTACCACTGATGAAAAGGAGAACAACTTCACTCACCTTCACTTTCAGTTCTCTCTTCTAGTTCTTGATATTCTGGAATTATTTCTTCATCAACGGTCTCCAGTTTCTAAAGAAAAATATTAAGTTTCATGTCAAACACGAGAAAAGGCACTTTAACCCTTTCACTCCAAGATCTCACTGATAATTCTCTTTACTGTCTGCCATACAATTCTTATGATGTTAGTTTGGAGAATTTAAAATTGAATCAACTAATAATCCCCTAATTGAAATTTTTGTTTATTCTCATTACTTAGTTGCTTGATATTGTAATGATACTGTAAGGAGAACTTCTGTCTTGGTCACTCATGAGAGTTAAAGGGTTGATATCGTCTTTATAATTCATCGTTTTAACGAGTGTGAGGCGACAACCCAAAATGAAAAACCACTCAGAACTGAATATGCATAGACGACCAAATTCCCAAAACTAGGATTAAAGAAATAAATTGCAATCATTTTGGAGAAGTGATGTTTAACAATTAGAGATAAGTTTTCACTGACCTGTGGACTGGTGTCGTCAACCAGTGTCTGATAGTCTCTTTCGTTTTCGGGTTCATCTTGTATTAAACTGAGGTAATTGGACGAACGAAGCCCTGGATTGTTACTGTTATCGGGTCTCTGACCGACAGACAGTGTCCTGTAGCCCGATAGACTGTCTTTGCGCTCAGGTGACTTGGTGTTCTCCACCAGCGGCTGATACTCCGGACCTTCCTCCTCTTCTTCGTCACTTTTAACCGAGAGTTTCGCCATTTTTAATGTGTCCGAAGCACCTTTCTCATAAACAGGGTTGCTTGCTGATGGGAAGGGGCAAAATTGGTTAGCTTTCTTATCTCAAACTTAAAAATCAAGTCATGGTACCCCCTAAGAATCCCGAAACCCTAGGAAGTCTTGACAGGTTTCATTCAATGTTTCTAAGTTAAAACAATCGTCGCGATTCGCATCATAAGTCACCACATCGTGAGACAAACGATAACACTTTATTGTTATTATACTTCACCACGATGACCAAGCACAACCCTTTTCATAACACAATCTATTGCACAAGTCCGAACACATTTAAGAAACGCTGGGGTTGTGCGAGGAAATTATGGGCATTGTTACTCCTCCTGGAGGGTAGGTGGGTCAATCCCAAGCCCCTCCCTCGAGAACTGGGGAAGGAGTTGCTGTGGTTAGCAAAGTCTACATCACCAATACCTTAAATAGTTTTATTTTTCAATTTATTTTTTTACATCTTAAACAGAATCTTACCAGCTTTGATCCCTTTCACTATTGCAAGACCTCTGTAAAACAAAATGACACAAAATCTACATCATGAAATTGGTCTATAGAACTTCTGATTAGCACAACATTAACTTTAGATTACGTTATATCTGTATGAGAGGATAGGATTTTTAATATCCAGCATCAAAACTTCGGAAAACGAAAGAGAGAGTTAAGAGAGTTGTTCGGTTTTAACATGTTATTAACTACCGAAACTGTGTACAGCGCGTTCAATGGTTCATTGAAGATTGTATGGCAAGTCAACGCAATTTTAGCAATGGGAATTACCATGCCTAATGCTGCAAAGGAGCATTAGGAACGTATATCGTAGTTTAATAAAAAAGAAAGTGATTCCCAAATATATTTGACCCCTTTACCAATTCTCCCTTGCTCCAAGGAGCGGGAGGGAGAAAAGCTCTGGAAATGAGGTTGATAATAACCCAACATACCTTTTTCGTTTCCACATCAAGCAAATTACGACCACGCAGGCTAGTACGACAATTAACGCACAACCCAGAGCCACCAGGGCAATGAAAACTATGTTGAACTTCTGTTGGTGGCCTTTGATTGACGTTACAAAAATGATCTGAGTATGCGCAGTTGATGAAACAATATTGATTCCTGTCGAAGCTGATGACGTCGTCTCTGCACCTTTTGTTGCGTTTCGCTGGACTGGAGTACTTGTAACGCGGGCACTTTTAACCAATGGCCTTGAGGTTGGTTTAACGTCAGTAACTATAGAAAGCGAAAAATATGCATAATTACATTATCAACCAAGAAAGAGTTCGGTTTATGGAGACTCGCAGCAAGCCAGTGCGACAGTCATTGTTTTGGAGATAAATTGGTTTTAAAACTGTTTCCAGTCATTTAATAGCCGTGTAGTTCTGCGATATTGGGGAATTAAAGGGCGTCATACTTACGAAATCCATTTTTCTTGAAATACACGCAAGACTTTAAAACATTTCCTTCGTCTCTATGACACTGCAGCTTGAGAGAGAAAATGCGTCCATCGTACTGTCTTCCAATGTCTTTAGTCCACTTCACGAATGATAAACAAAAAGATGGTGAGATAAATAAGATTTTCGCAGTACACTACATCAACATAACATAACTACAGAAGTTCTCTCATGCATACGACTGAAAGACAAAAGGCTGCTTTTCAATCCCGAAAGACTATTTATCCTTTTTTCTGAATCACGAGAACAAGGACATAGACAAGTGATGAAAAAGTGCAAAAGTTGTGCCTACTATCTCCTTGGTTAGGGAGAAGAAGACACGGGTTTGCTCACAGACCCATCGAACAATTTTTCTGCAGAATTCCAAGGATTATCTCAGTCTTTCCTCACGACAGGGACATAACAGCCTCTTAAACACCAATCCAACGATCATGGGCACTTTTTCGTACCTGATAAAGATAGCGTGTTCACCTTTTTGTAAAAAAGTAGAGGGGTTTGCTATACTGCCTTTGGCTTTGACATTGTGTCCAAAGATGCATAGAACTTACTTTGAGAAATAACTCGTCTGTCTTTTCATACGAAGGATGTGGATTAGTTTTCACAGATAGTGTCGAAAGTGGTTCCTTATCAGTTAGAAAGTTTATCCAGCTGCCATCAAGATAAAACGATTCCTTCGCTAGTATCTCGCATCTCGACAATTCCTTGGCAAGTTTAAAATGAAGGAGGGCTTCAGTATTTTTCTTGTTCCACGGACATAAATAAACGCTTCTGTTCCCGGGATGTCTTGTGTTAAGAGTAGTGAGAACTTGACCATAACACTGACGATAACTCTCGCCGACAACTGCACGGTAATCACAACCTAACAAGCACAAAAATCATAGATTAATAGCTTGCTTCGACCAGCGCCAAGCACTATAAGGCGCTCTCCAGCTTTGAAACAATTTTTAAACGCGTCCCTGTCTCTTTTGAGACGAATAACCAAACTACTCCTGCTGGGCTGGAGTAAAGATTCAATCATCGCCAAGTTTGAATAAGACGCTCTCCAACTTTACAACATTTTAAATTGCGTCCCTACCGCGTTTGAGAGGAATGATGAAAAATGCTCTGTCAAGGCACACGTAAGGACAGATCAGGGAAAGAATGTGAGTGTCAAGTGTAAAATATATCCATGTTTTATCTCAACCGGGCGTTAGTTGGTCATTTATTAAGAGAGATTGTGTGACGAACCAAAACAGATCAGAGAGGCAAATTTTTAAGAGAGCGTTTGCTGCACTCTAGAATATGGCACTACAATTCATAGGAGTTTGCTTGAACAACCCCTTCCCCAAGTGCGTTGTCTTCTTCCCTCGGAAAATCTTACTCGAAGGCTTTCTCAGTAGAGATAGAAAGATAGGAGCCTGGGAAAGAGGTTGTTTTTTTGGAACACTTTCCAGTCGCATTTGGAAAAAAAAAATCATATTTCTACAGCGGAGGACCCAGTTATTTACCCAAACATGTAATATCTTGGACATTTCCTATTGCATCCCGCATTTCCGACGTTGAGAATTACAAGGAGATTACGACTTTCACATAAACTGTAAATAATGAGAGCAATGGTGTATCAACTTTCCGCCAGCGTTTCCGCAGAATGATATCCTATAACCGGCTTTATCAGTTAAAGATTCCGATTTTTTCCGAAAACCTTCCAAACATTTCGGCATGTTGATGTAGTATCATACGATTCCTTCTACCCTTCTAAGTTAAACGTTTTTGAAATTTGTCAATCAAACCACAATAGTAATAACAATCTATGGTTGAATAAATACACTTTATAAATGACATCAGAGCGACGCCTGTAGCCATCAACGTTTCATTCATTTCCCTCAGGGAGTCCATCACGAAAACTTTGTGGAAGGTTCGATCAAACGTTTTCTGTGCATAGTTACATATCACTCGGGTACAAGTCAAATTCTTACCACTATTCTCCAGAATGAACATTTCGATTTACTCGATATAATCAACAGAGTTGGATAAGTAACCCGAAATAGCGTATTTAAAAAGCTTTACTACTTTACAGACTTATTGCGACAAATCTGATCGCTTGCCAGAACAATCGATAGCCTTGTCTAAAGACCTCCTAATATATAATATACACATAGATCAGAAAACATTCCAAGTGCTTTGTTGAAGCAAAACAGAAAAAAACAATAAAGGTGTTTTCAGATTTGGCGTGTTATGAGTATTTGCTATCAGCTGTTTGAGACATTTGCAAAAAAAAAATCGGTATGATCGAAATACCAGCGTATATAATGAACAGTGATCTGGCAACTGAAGAAGCAATCATGACTTCTATCGAATCCAATCATCGCTTCTTAGCGTTTCAGTCAGTTGTGTAATGTCGCCATGTGTGTTCCATATGTATGCAGCAAAATAGAGACTGTGGTTGAACGTAAATACTGGTGTTTGAGGAGGCACAGAACGGATAAAACAAAATCAAAATAAGAGATCTAAAAAGTAATAGCAGGCGAATGCCGGTGGATCCTCGGATCCGAGCGAAGGAGTCGAACCACTACAGATTCCGACGACATTGACGACATGACCTGCTTGTGCCGTGTCGATAAACGACTCGTCGAGACTTGAAACAGATTCTCCACATACATCAATAACTTACCTTGAATAACACTTTCAGCTTTCAAAATGGACATCAGTTGCTCGTCAGAGAGACAAGTCCCGTTGTTTTGAAGATAGGTTGGTTTGTTTCTCTCACACTTACAATAACAACAATTGAATCCGCAAAATGGCGAGTTTTCTCCATCGAGGACGCATCTCGCTCCACTCTCATTACAAGATCTGGAAGAGTTTATGTTCTGAAAAACATCACCTTCTGTGTATCTTGTGATATTGAAAGTACTTTTTTTACTTTCCACCAAAAGAACCAGCGCAAATACAAGCAATCTCAGTGTGAGATTAACAAATTTCTGTGACATCCTAATCGGGCACAAGACAAGCGAAGACTGGAGCACCATAGTGAGAAAACCGGTAGTAAAATCCGTCAGAAACCACGCATGAATCTCACACCATTGGCCGTGCCCATTAATCCGGTTTTATCACTCGAAAGTTTCGTGACTGTTGTCAGGAAATGGTGTGCATACGCCTTTCATTTTCCCATGTTCGACTCATGGCCAACGATATTTGAGAACAGCTTTAGTATCCAGTCGCCCATTACATTTCGACAATGGCAGTAATAAATTTTTCACATTTCTAGATACCTGACGTCTTCAAAAAATAATCAAAACACTTAAGTATCCTAAGAATAAACAGAATGATTGACTGAGATAAAAAGCACAAAAATTCTACTCCTAATGATCTCTGAAATTCTTTGAGGCACCACAACTCACAAAACTGCAAGTTCGGGGAATTTCCGGTTTTTCGTGACAAACAGAAGAGCGTGACCTATCATTGAATTTGCTATGAACGGAAGTTACAAAAGTATAATGTAACGCTGACAGCTAAATGTATTCTACGTGAGACCAACAATTCTGTTGAAAATAAAAAATATGTCATTCTTTTATTGTAAAGAAGACCAAAAACGTCCCAAAACACAGGCATACGGGTCATATCCTTTGGAAATAGTAGATATCAAAACGGGCGAGTTTCTCAAAGTCCAATTTCCCGTTTTCGCTAATAATTTCAACATCTTTGCCATTAACCATAACTATCGAAACATTTTTTCGGCAAATCAAGGATTGGCAAGAGAAAGTGGTTTGTAAATAAAAGATGAAATTATCCGATATTCATGAATGTAAATCATGTTAGTCAGCCATGACTTGCCAAACATGAGATCGTCGAATGACAGGAATGCGAAGTCGGGGGCATTTACGTTTTTGTAATTGGCACAACCCATGACAATTTTAGGGGAAAGTAAAACGCCTACTATTTCTTGTGTCCGACGCCCTGTTAGAAAGAATATTTTGTCTCGTGGGTGACAAATAGCTGTTCATAAGCCAGAAATAATAATGACCTTCTTTCCTCTGGAGGTGAGCCTCTGATTGGCGTTCAGCTCTGAAGAACTACGTAGTTACACAATTCAAATCTTCTGGAATATTTACAAGCGGAGAAGGTGAAAGTTAGTGATGTGGTGAACCGACTTTTCACATTCTCCGTCATTTCAGTCGATACTGCTGTCAGTAGTTTTCGCTTGACTTCGGTGCAATGTGTATAAAGCCAATAATTTAAGTCTCTGTAAATGACATCAAATCGAAGAAAAAAAAATAGTACGAATTATTAAAGTGTTCTTAATTTTTCTAAAGCATCAAAAACTTCTGCTCTCTCATTTTCCAGCTGGAATAGGTTATCAGGGACATGCCGCTGGAGGTTCTCTTCCAAACATCACAAAGCGCCTCCCGGTTAGCTCAATTGGTAGAGCGCCGGACTGTTGTGCGGGAGGTCG